ACATTAGCCCCTTCAAACCTTGTTTTTGACGGAAAGCGTTTTCTGAAAACTCTTTGAAGATCCCAAAAATACGTCTGTTAGAATTTATGTTATTTTCCAGCTATTGTTGTGTTTTAAAACTAAATTGAAACGGGAATTTCTTGTTTTGCCAAAAAATCACTTGTCGGTTTCAGGGAGACTTCAAAAAAAGATGACTTTTCTTAGCAAGGAAGTAAAATAATAAAAACAATTATTAACTCTTATCGTGGCGTCCTGCCGGTTAGAATGCAATAAAAAAGTGGCTCTATCTGCTAACTAAAAGTACTTGATTGGTTTGTAAACTGGATTTCACCACTGGCTGAGACTCAAATCCGTTAATGCCCATATTACATTTGAATAGACTCAAACTGATATGTCTATACGCAGTTTTTTGATGGTCAATCAGACAAAAACTGTTCGAAAATTTTAGAAGAAAGAGAAAAGGCAAAAATTTGAAATTTTCTTAAAATTAAAGGTTTCTACACAATTATAAAGTTTTTGTATTTTCGATTTTTCTCGCTGAAAATTTTTTCTAAAAATCTGAAATCGACTTTTTATTACACAACTCGATGAGCTCCATCCAATCATGTATAAATATCAAGAAAAAATTTCTGCTTAATTTTTGAATTACCGGCGCCTTACTTTTAGATAATTTCTATATCATGTTTTCGCATACTCTGAAAATTGAATAAAATCATTTTCTAGGCGGTTGCTACTTGTCTAGAAATTTATCAGAAACTCAGACTCGCATATGCACTGTTCATTTTTAATAAGAAAAACAATTTTTAATAAATAAAAAACTTGTCTTTGATGTTAATAATCAATGCAAACAAACACAATATACAAAGAGTTGGTTACGTATGATTATTTGTCTGTTCGTTCATAAATGCTTTAGTCACGCGTCTATTAGCTAATGTTAAGAGATTTTTTAATAAGCAAGCAACAGTTACTTGGCCAACACCACCGGGTACAGGTGTAATAAATTTGGCCGATTTACGAACTTCTAAAAAATATAATAAAAGAAACAGGCTGAAAAACAATTATTATTTATGACTTTAGCAGGTTGCCATGGAGATAAACTGCGCTTCAATAGCAATCATGTCTATTTTTAGGGATAAAAGGAAGAAAACTTTCCACTTGTATAATTCTTTTAAAGATTTGAGCATACCGTCAAAGCAGACATCGCCGACAAATACAGTATTGCTACCGCTTGATTTTGTAATACCCACATCGATAACAATGACGTCCTTTTTAACCATATCGTGTGTTACTAGTCCTAAAAAAGATATACAATTGATCTGTTAAGTAGTATTTTAAACAGAAAGAGAAAGCCTTATACTTGGTCGTCCAGCAGCTGAAATAATAATATCGGCATTTTTACAATGCATTTTGAAATTGTCTAATGGAGTCTCTCGATGACAAATTGTTACATGTGCGTCCCCTTAAAACAGGATCAACAAAAAGGAAAATATAGATGGCTTAATATATCAACAAAATGTATTTACCTACCAACTAGTTCATTGGATAAGACTGTTGAACGACTGAGTAGAAGTGCTATAGGTGCACCAACATATTTCGAACGACCGATAACAACAACATTTTTTCCTTTGGTTGGTTCACCTAAAACACATTTTTATCTTCTCATCTGTATTTTCTGTCACATGTGTAAATCTTACCAATCTCTTTTAATAGTTCATGAACAGCGTCCACAACTGGTATCATTGTTGTCGATTGACAATAATTTTCTGTTGTAAATCCATCAACATCCTTATCTGCATGAATCATCTGAATCAAGTTTTCTGTTTGATCAATTAAATGTAATGGTAAAGGTAATTGTAAGAGTATTCCATCGACACTATCGTCGTTATTTAATGTTTGAATTAAATCTACAATTGCTTCATGTGTCGAATGCATTACAGGATTCACAACATTAAATTCAATGCCTAAAATTAAACACCATTATGAAAAGTACTTAGACCACAACGATCATTCCTATGCAAAGTCTTGTTGATGATGAGTCGCTGCTGTCTGTGTTTGTTTGGCCAAATTTTCTGTAAACTAGTTCCACAGAATGACAGTGATTTACCAATAGTTTCCTTCACAGAGATTCGGAATATATTAAGCTTATCAGGGTTATTCAGAAGATAAATGCCATGATTGACATTAAACAAGCATTCATACATCACACTTGATCTGATCATGAAAGGAAGAATCATTTAGGATAAAGTCTTGTGAACTATTCCGATAGAAATCAGCATCTCTACGATGATAATAAACTTTTTATCGAACCCGTTGCCCTATTCATCTATTTCATGATAAAAATTGCAGTGCGATACGTGCCAATACTTCTGTTAACCCCAGATACTGTTGTTTACAAAAAAACTTGCGCTTCTTACTTTGTTATGAATCTCCTTATGTATCATTAACCAAACAAAAGAAAACCACATGAACACGTACGTCACTGACCGACACGTTTGGCTGCTTTTTGCTTATTTTTAATGTATAATTTACTGCTAGGATGTCCACCGACCAATAAAGCTGTTAAACGTGGTTGTCGATCATATTTAAGAATATATTCATCACAATCTTGTTTACATTTTTCTAGTATTCGATTAGCTACTGGCTTTCCATATAGAACATTATCGTACATCTTTTTTGGCTTAAGTTTAATACTGGCTTCTTGTGAAACACATCTAAGAAAATTAAGATTATCCATAATTATATCTTTGTATGATATAAAGAGGCTTACCTTGGGCAAATGGTTAATGAATAACGCAGAGATTTATTGAATATCCAACGATACATTGTGCAGAGTTTATCAAATCTGGAATCAAAAACTGGCCAACTATACATAAAGGTTGGCAAACCGATTGTGTAAAACGGCAACTAAGAGAAATTAGAGCACTAATAAAATTTATATTTAGATTTTGATTTTTATGTTTTATTACTGTGAATTTTTACTTTTTTGGTCGTTTCTATAACCTTCCTTAACTTTTATAAACTGTACGGTAAAAGTAAAATAAAAATTATTTGACCGCAACGCTCAAATTTCCTTAACATTTTCTAAAACATACGATCGCTGTAAATTTGAAAAAGAAAAGTCCGTGAATTTTTCACCTACTTTTCTCTGAATCAGCTACTAAAGTTCGTTCCATCATTGAGTGAGGTCTGTAAAGTATGTGATCATGGGCTTTTCAACTCGGAAGTTACCAGTCAGCTCTGTAATTTTTCATGCACTTTAATTCATATTTTCACGGACCTCACTGGCAGCTTCCGGGTT